TGATAAAACATGAATCGCTTCGCTCCGCTGTTCAGGTGATGACCCCATTCACTGCAGTGTTGTTCTTATGGGTTATTGCGGCGATATTGTTGTCTTATGGGATACTCATTGTGGTTGCCAGCAGTCGGATTTGGGCGGAAAACATGAAGTATAGCGGTGATGGAAAATTGGAATTTACGGTATCGAAAAATATCAGCGGACCTGTATATATCTACTATAGGATGGACTGGGTTTACCAAAATGAGGCTGAGTATATGAAATCGATTTCAACTGAGCAGCTGACCTCGGGAGAATCCAATGTGCGTCCTAATCGGTATGGAAAATGCGATCTGTTTAATCATGTAGGAAATGAAGAAAAAGTGGGAGCGTTGCCGTGTGGGTTGATCGCGAAAAGTACATTTAATGATACGTATTGGTTTACGATTGATCGAGTTGATGGGAAAAGTGAAATTCCGAAGGTCTACATGGGGGAGGACTTGACGAACGATGCGACGGTGAAGACGAGAAATCCGAGAAATATGGAAGATGACGCGTTTTTGTGGAAAAATTCCGAGGGAAAAATAACGGGCGTTAACTATTTCTGGTTGTTGTGGTTGCAACCGCCGACGCTATGTGTGCCAAAAAGTCCGGAATTTGAATTTAAAATCGTCCGACCGAACGCAAGGGAAATCCGATACGGTGAGGGAACAAACGATTATGTAAAAGTGCCGGACTGTACGTATGGTGAAGTACCGCGTTGTAACTTCACACAAACTTGCGGTGAGGACGATTTGGAAGGTTATCATGAAATTGCAAATCCTAGTGGGTGGGGACTGGAGTCAACAGTGTTTAGAAATTGGATTACGACTTCATCTACTTCGACATTTCTGAAGTTATACGGGCGAATCGATGAGAGCTTCACTACTGGAGATACTATTGTTGTTGATGTTATTGATAACTGGCCAGCTGAAGATTTTGGTGGGAAAAAGTCGCTTTATATTACTACTACGAATTGGCAGGGAGGCAATAACATGGTTGTTGGCGGCTTTCTGGTGCTTGTCGGAGGAGCCTATTTTCTGTGGGGGTTGTATTTGATGTTACGGCAGAAGTGGTGGCCAAGGACTTTCGGTGGCGTGCAGTACTTTAGTTTCCAAAGGCAGGATAATAAACCTAAAGTGGCGTGAGCGCACGCGGAAGATTTTGCGCATGCGTGCAAAAGCAGGAGGAGGAAGATACTGCTGGTAATTTTGTATGTTGTTGTTGGTTTCTGGAACTGTAAGTTGAGAATATTTGATACGAGGCGGATGGCCGTTGAGTTGCAGTTGTGAACGATTATAATGGGTATAATCGTTGGGGATAATCGTTCACGAGGTTGTTGTAGTATGTTGTAAACTGGTTGTGATGTGCTGTTTGTTCATAAAACGGTGGGGAAATTAATTCCGGGATCGGAGTTTTTTTCTATGCTGATGGAAAATAGGAAGCTTGCATTATTGCTCATGCATAAAAAATTAGTTTTTTCTTGTTTTTTCTTCAGAAAATCTTGAGGTCCCCTCGAAAAGATACGGAATAGGTTATCGTGAAGATATTTATTATTTACATATGACTAAACTGCGTGAGTTGATTCGTCAAGTGCGTGCGTGCAAAACTCAATCGGAGGAAAAAGCGGTGGTGGCGAGGGAATGCGCTGTGATAAGGCAGTCGTTTAAGGATGGTGATCCGGAGTAATATGAGGGGGAATGTAATTAGTTATTGTTTTCTCTCAGTGTTGGAGGAAAATATGCACATGTGTTGGTGACAATATGAAAATTGTGAGGAAATTTTGGGAAATTCTCGTTGGTTTCTGTACATATTCCTACCCGAATTCGAATGTAAACTTCCATAGTTAGTGAGAAATTTCCTGAGCTCAGCTGAGGAGAGCGATTACATATATTCCTACTCCAACACTGTATAGGAAACTCCTGAGCTCAGCTGAGGAAAGCGAACATATATTCCTACTCCAACACTGTATAGGAAACTCCTGAGCTCAGCTGAGGAAAGCGGTTACATATATTCCTACTCCAACACTGTATAGGAAACTCCTGAGCTCAGGTGAGGAAAGCGAACAAATATTTCTACACTGTTTTCATATTTAAATAGATTTATCTTATTATTGGGGAGTTTCACCCATTTACTTTGGTATGATATATGTTTTTCACTAGTGTTTTTCATATCACTAGGGTGGTGAAACTCCACTAGGTAGAAGTATCTTTTTTTATATGCTAACAGTTCTCATCGTAATATTTTTTAATATTTTTAGTATTTCCTGAAACTTATTCACAGGTTTGTTTGAGTTTTGGATTTTTCCGAGAAAAAAATTCGTCGTGCTCACTTGTGTGATATGAAAGTGTTAGAGAAGAACAGGAATTTCATCCGTGTTGTTGGAAAAAAATAAAGAGATTTTCTGGTGTTTTCACGTAAATGAATATGGTGAAAATCGCTCGGGAATTTTTTACCCACGGCGTGAGTGAAAATTTATTGATAAAGCGTGAAAAAGATGAGGCATTTTCCCATTTTTTGTGGCAAATTTTTGGTTTTTTTTGTAGTCATCGCAGCCGCAACGTCGCGAAGTTGGTGTATATACATATGTTGGGATATCCAACGCACTTCGGGCAGATGGACTGTTTGAAGTTGATCGCATCAGCAAAATACGCGGAGAAAAGAGTTGGGTAATTATTATTATTTCATACCGTAATTTTGTAAATTCGCAGGGCAGGTATCTTGGACTCACACAGTTGTTGGATGAGAATTCAGAGTTGTTGATGTTGGTGACAAACAGCATCAAAAACGATCTCAATTCTAAGGTAGGGAGTTTTGTGATGGAGAATTTCAATATTATAAGAGTGGAGTTTCACGCGTTTTACGTGAAGTGGCGTAATACTAGATGTGAAAAAGACTCTATGAAGTGAAGTGAAAATACTTGGCGAATTACGCCGGACGAATTACCCCATAACACTACGAAGTTGTGGTATTGTGAATGAGTTATAGGGGAAATAATATAAGTGAGGATAAAAGGAAAAGAAAAAATAAAAATATTCAAGTGGAAATGGAATGATATAAGAAAAAATGCACTTGAAAATGAATATGGTAGCAGGAAAAGCGAAAAATTCAAGTAATATGAAAAAAATTATGTCAAGTATTATATTAATCTATAATGATATAGGTGTAAATGAAAGGAAAAGAAAAAAAAATAAAAAAATTTTGTGTGAAAATGAAAGGAAGCGGAAAAAGGGGGAAAATTTGAGTAAAAATGGAATAAAGTAGTAAGACAAGTGATGAATTTTGAGCAGATTAAATTTCCGTATGTGTTTGATTGTTGCGAAGATATCGAGCGGATCATAAACTGCCATTTGCCGCATTTTCTGTGTGTTCGTTCATTCGTTGAATTATTTCTCTCCGACTACACCAGTTGAACTCTCGTCGAGACACATACCATTCGGAAGAGTGTAGTGTATGTATCCTATGCGGCGGTCTATGTCGTCGCTGTGATGGTGAGCGAACAGAAAATACACGAAAAATGCCTCTCCCGGGGATCGAACCCGCGACTGTTGTTATTGTACTCGGGTATTTTTTCAGAATCAGTACGTCACTGGGTTGGCCCTTTGCGCGCTCGCTAACATTGGTTCGACGGAGATGTGTATGTCGTTGAGTAGAGAGGTAGGGAGGAGGAGGAGTTGCGGAAAGTGTGGTATATAAAATAATATAAAGTATAATATTTAATCGGAGTTTCACAACAACCCGTTTTACGTGAAGTGGCGTATTTGGCGAATTTCACACCGGATGAATGATTTTATTTCACGTAAAACGCATCACGCGTTTTACGCGTTATTCGCTGCTTAGATGCGTTTTTCGCGAAGTGAAATATGTTTTTCACTGGTGTTCTTTTCTTCATATCACTAGGGTGAAACTCACTTGTATCAGGTTGAACAGCTTCTGGTTGGTCCCGGCAGTTCGAGTCCTTATGTGCAGAAAAAAGCTGTATTGTGCGCGTTACGGATTGTTAGAAAGGTGAGGTTGTTAATGTATTTGTATTTTGAGAAAATAAATTATCATTTAAATATTGGAGTTTCACGACCCGTTTTACGCGAAGTGGCGTAAAACTCGGTAAAAAAACGCGATATTCGCGGTGATATGCAGTAGTCGTGAAAT